GTCACTGTATCATAGAATACAGGTAATGGAACACCCCAGACTCGCTGTCTTGATATACACCAGTACGTTCTGCCAGACAAAGCTGTTTTCATACTGTTACTTGCATGCTTTGGTAGAACGGAAACACTGTCTATACAATCCTAAGAGATGATAATTAAAACAACAATATTTGAAAGAATTACTACTGTGTGATACAAGTGTCTTAATTTTATTTTGTTATTATCATACAAGCCACTTCGCAATATACATTGAGAAAGTGTTCAATGAAAGATGAGGGAATATTTATATTTAAAATAACACTGTTATTTATATTTTATGTTCATAATTTACTCTCACTTCTGTATCTGTTATGTACAAGTGATCATTTTTTGCGGTATAATTAAACTATAATTGCATTTAAATAATCGCATTTAATTAACAATTAAATTACTGTGGAATACTTTATTTTCGCTGGAATTAATTTTCGCTGAAAAGGCTTTTGGGGCGGTTTGCTTGGAATTTCTTTTCACTGATTTTTCATGAGTTTAATGTGAAATATAGGAAAAAAAGTATATTCGCTGGATTTTATTTTCACGGAATCATCCCTTCAGCGAAAATAGCGAAAATAAATTCCAAGCGAAAATAAAGTATTCTACAGTACATCAACAATCACAACATTTACACATACATGTAAGTATCATTCATTAAAATACTTATATTGTGTTATATCAGTAAATGTGCCACATTCAGCACTCCATAATTTTATTTAATATATGATTGTGTAAGCAATAATATGGTACATATGTAACCCCATGTTGATTTGTAATTATTGTATGTGTCGTTTTCATCAGTAATGTCCCGTCTGACCAAAATATCTTGTTGACTAGTCTTGTTCACCAGTCTAGTCCACCAGTAGTGACCTGTCTATTAGTCCTGTTCTGTTCATCATGGGATATCCACCTATTCAGTCTACTAGTAATGTCTTGTTTTCTTTGCCTATTCTGTCTGTTAGTCTTGTCCACCAATAATGTTTTGTCTTGTCCACCTGTAATGTCATGCTTTGGCTACCTGGCCTGTCTGTTAGTCCTGTCCATCAGTAATGTATTGTCTTGCCCACCAGTAATGTTTTGCTCTGTCCACCTGCCCTATCTGTTAATCTTGTCTATCAGTAATGTATTGTCTTGTCCATCACCAATGTCTTGTCCACCAATAATGTCGTGTCTTGTTCACCTGTCCTATCTGATAGTCCTGCCCATCAGTAATATATTGTTTTGTGTTGTGCACTAGTAATTTCTTGTCTTGTCCACCAGTAATTTATTGCTTTGTCCACCTGTCCTGTCCATTATTCCCATCCATCAGTAATATATTGTCTTGTCCACCTATAGTGTTATTTCTTGTTCATATGACATGTCTGTTAGTCCTGTCAACTAGGCATATTTTGTTTTGTCCATCAGTAATATCTTGTCTACCTGTCATGTCTGTTAGTTTACCATTGCTGTCTTGTCATGTCCATCTGTTCTGTTATTTATTTATTTATTTATTTATTAACACTTACTCACTCCCCGGAGAGAGTGGAAATGGTTACAGATTATTAGTAAAAGAATACAGTATTAATACACTAATAAGGAAGTAATAAAAAAAATAAACTAATCTACAAAAACAGTATATTAATGGATAAAAAAAATAATAAAACAACTCCTTCAATTAATCCAAAATTTGTTGTCTAATTTCAAAGCACTTGTCGATATACTGTGCTACCTGGATTATTATTGTTAGTAATTCCTCATCCTAACTTGCTCATGACTCACCATGGCATTCTTCTTCAATGCAGCAGTGTTGATAAACCACTGAGTACTAGCTCTGATTATAATAGGCTTCTTTGTTCTCCAGTCATAGGGATAAGCATGCTCATATTGTCCAAGGTGACCAATATTACCCGCATTCTCCAATAACTTGATTACTAAAATAAGTAAACATACATATGTGTGACTCTCATATTATAATATTATCTATGAATATTACATGTAGTTTCAAGATGAAATGCAGATGCTATATTAAATTTTTAGTTGAGCTGCATCTATTTCGATATGTCAATTTATTACTTTTGTTTTCTCCTGAAACATTTTGTCCCATATTTAGAGTTTATTAGGCCTTTTGATATGTCTGATTGGGTATTTTATTTCATATTTCACAATTACATAGCTGTACCCAACACGTCATCAATATGAAGAGGCTGAGACCTGCTTAAGTGCAATTGAAATTCTTACCCAGACGCTCAAAAACCACCAAAATTTCTGCCTGAAATAATGAATGACTGTATTGCGGGAGGCACTGAGCGTCAGAGCAGCGGCAGAGCAGCGGCAAGTAACCTTATTGAATGGTTGAAGTGTGTCTGAAGGTGAGAACAGTTGATGAACTTTTCTACTGCCTTCCACAAGAATCGTCGCCCAGCTTTTGGCAAATTTGCGGGACCTGGAATCCTGGAACTGTGGCTCATTGCTCATCAATAAAGTTGGTTTGCCATGATTTGTATAAAATATCACTAACAACAACCACGAGTTGCCCACTCCACTGTGTAGGTTATATCAAATCATACGATTTCTCTTATGTTACACTATCACATTGAATGAGTTTAAATGTTAATGTGAATTTATAACATTGCATCAGGAATTGTATTACAATTTAGTTCTGAATTTCATAAAACTTTCAATTCCCCACACTGTTATAATTGGAGTATTTGAGTATCAATGTCAGATAAGGAATAAATAACACATCCTGACGTCTTGGGACTCTTGGTCAATATATTGTATTTGTCTTGCATGTTGTATTTTTATAATTATTATCATTAGGATTACAGCGTCCTCTGTGGTCACAACTGTTCTCAAGTCCAGACAACAGGGTTATATTGAATCAAGGCAATACAACATTAAAGTTTATTTATCACTGTGTGCAGACTTGATTACAAATCAACTTACCAATGTCATTAGCTTCTGTGAGAACATTTTTGAACTTTAAAATCTCACCAACATCCTCTGTATAAAGACCATCTTCATCTACCATGCATTTCTGAAAAACAAAACAATCTATCTTGCATTAAAAACAATGTTTTGCAGTGATTACAAGGGTACTAATATTGGTGACAATCTTATCAAACAGCTAACTGCACCACCAGACCAGACAACCTTTTTTTAAAAGTGATAAAGATACACATGGTATTTGATATGACAAGTATATATACCATCAGTGCAGGCAGAATGGCATATCACTTACCAATGATAGATTGTGTTCCACTCCCACTACATAGTCTTCTGCACCATGTGCTGGTGCTGTGTGTACCAAACCAGTGCCCACCCCCATCTTGACATGATTAGCTGGCAACAGTGGTGACGTCTTCTCATTCAAAAATGGATGGCAACAAAGTGTACCCTCAAGATCGCTTCCTTTGAATAATAATAAATGAATGTATGTAAGCGTTGAATGGGTCTGTGTAATTAGTATGCCTTTTTCGGACAGTCACAAGCCATGCATGGCATAGTCCCTGTTAATTATACATAGTTTTGTTAATAGTAATATGGTTGGAACATCAACATGTTAGCGATATTGATCCAGAAGCTGATGCTTGATTATGATAATTTTTTTAACATTAAAATAATTGACATTCAGTCATCTTCTATCTGATCAACTAATAAGTACTTGTCCATATTGAGATATATTGCTCTGAAACAGCAATAATTAAAACAAAATGGCCACTTTGAATACATCTGTATATCTATGAAATGATGTATAATGAATATATAAAATTTGAACATAATTAGTCAAAGTATGTCAGAAATATGGATCTAGAACCGCATTCAAACAAAATTGATGCCATTCGGCCATATTAAATGTATAATATTATGTAGTATGGATGTGTGAAGTCTGAATGTAATTGACAAAGGCATGTTCAAGATATAGGTCGATCAAGGGTGATTGGCTGTTTCCATGGATTCAGTGCATTGCCATGGAAATATACATGCACAGATGGATACCAAGATGTCTTGTAGTCTACGTATGGATACCAAGATGCAACTAGAGAACTAAAAACTTTGCTACCACTCACCACTGAGAGTATATTTGACTTCCAGACTAACACCAAATATCTGTGATATTTCTTCCAGACGTTCAGCTGCCAGTAAATACCATTCATGGTTATTTGAGTTTACAACAAGACAGTATTCCTTATTAGGCATGTAACATATAGCTTCATTAGCGGGCAGTGTCCATGGCGTAGTTGTCCACACCAGACAAAATAACGATACATCACTACCTGGAAATCAATAAATACAAACAATTTGGATGATTAGACCTCAAAAAAAAAAATATTGTTGGTCACATTTTTTTTTTAAATGGACAGTAAGATGTTTTTTTTGTTTTTTTCATTAAAATGTTTTACTGTGCAGAAATATTGCAGGTTTAATCAATTCGTTAACAGAGGGCGCTGTAACTGCACTTCTTTTGATGGTGTGCATGCTGACCAGAAAATGTTGATTGATTTTATACCAAAATAATTAATAATTTTTGCATGGAAACAGATTTTTATCAAAGTTTATGAAAAAATATAATAGTGAACATTACCGGTATATTGCTTATTTTGTAGCAAAATTTACTTTGACATTCAAAGGGTAAACACGAACTATAAGAACCACATAGACCCTCAAAATATAGAATTACCTATTATAGACTGTATCTCATTTGGCAGTCTCTTGACTGGAAATTTAACATACAAAGATGGTGATATGTGTTTGGAATTGTATTCTAATTCAGCCTCTGCCAATGCAGTCCTATTAAAAAAAGAATAAAAACAAGAAATATCCATTCAATGACACATATATATTGGTATGCACTGCTCTGGTGAGAACAGAATTCCTGATATCAGTCTTAACTTTCTGCATACATAAAAAGTAACTTGATTCAGATGAATGTATACAGAAAATGTTATTTAAAAGTTTTCATGACAATGAAAGGATAATGATCATACTCAGACATATATACAGTACTGTGAACTATCTTTTTCAACAAATTTTTCATAAAATTGTTCATAAAAAGTGTACACAAGTGTATATTCCTAATAAAAAGCATGTCACAATAAGGTCACCACAACAATTTGAGATTGGCAATTTTAAATTTAATTGCAATCCCATATAGGAATGCAATTTAATTAAACTAAACTAAATTGCAATTTTATGTAGGGTTACATTTTAATTGAGTTTGACTGAATTGAATTTTCAAGGTAGCAATCTAGAGATAACAATTCAACTGTAACTTAATACAACAGTTTGCATATTTAGGGTTAAAGTCGGTAAAATAATGTGCAGGTTATACAAACTGTTCCATACATTACTCCTTTCAATAACTGTAAGCTACATAAACGTGGATTAAATATTAATAAATCGCAAAATATTAATCATGGTCTAGTTATACTGCATGTAATGACCTCTTTTGAAGATTACTTATAAAATATTATAATGAACAATACATAAACAAAATCTTACCTGGAAGAAGGAGACCAGTTAACAGGCTTTAAATCCCTGTACACATATCCCTATGAACAACAAACAAAATAATCTTTACATTCATGTTAATAAAATTTATATGTTATAGGGGCTGCATAATGGTACACTACAGATAATATACATATATGAAGAATATTGTAAAGGAATGTTTAGAATAGATGAATGAATGAATGAATGAATGAATGAATGAATGAATGAATGAATGAATGAATGAATGAATGAATGAATGAATGAATGAATGATGGATGGATGGATGGATGATGGATGATGGATGGATGGATGATGGATGGATGGATGGATGAATGAATGAATGAATGAATGAATGAATGAATGAATGAATGAATGAATGAATGAATAAGTTGAATTGAATAAGTGATTAAATTAATCATTCAAAAGTTAAGATTGATAAAAAAAGAATGGGTCTAACCTTCTCATACATTTGATAAAACAATTCCAGCTGAGAAGCTTCATATTCTTTGTTAAATGTAAAGTAACAATGGTTGTCCCTGTTAAGGAGAATAAAGTGACTATCAGTTTCACTATTTCACACCTTTTCCTTTAAGGTGACCAATTCACTTGTGCAAAATTTGACCAAAAAAAGAGGCAAAAAATAACACACCTCACAATTTTTTTTATCCAAATTAAATACGTTATTTTTCATACTTATATTATTCACAATTATATATTAGCATCTTAGTTATAACTACCGGTCAGCCATAGCATTACACACCATCTATTGAAGGCATCTAGCTGCCGGGTGATAACATATTTTGAAGCTGAAAATTGAATAACGTGCGAGTAAAACTAATCTGTTAAATATATGTATTACAAGGATACTTACCAGTCAGCCATTACACCCCATCTCCTGAATGCATCTTGTTGCCGCTTGATAGATTTCTGGGCATATTTGAAGGCTGAAAAGCACATAAAATACAAGAAGACAATCTTTATCAACAAACTTTTCACTTACAGCATTTTGGTTTCACCTCGTGAACTGGAATGATAGTTCAAATCCCTTTTAGTGATCATTTTGCAAATTTTTTTTTTCAATAAATTTTTTTTCGTTACTTTTAGACCAAATGGAAATCAATCCTTATTGGCAAAGGTCTTGATCAAAATTATGAAAACAATTAGTGAAAAAGATGCAGTTGTTGTTAGAAAGGTGACGAGTTGACTTTGGCATTTCAATAATTAATAGAAGCATGACTGGAAATTGAGAAATACCCCAGTAAATAATTGTAAGAGAATTTGAGACATACCACAGCAAATTAATTCACAGTACACTGATTTGTATTATTTAGATATCAATGTCTAAATCAGACAAATACCTTCAATGACGAGGGTGCACTTCAATGACTAAGACACTTCTCACATCTATTTTTAAACTATTGGGCTACAAAAATGACCATGTTTCCACAAAAATGTCAAATTTGGTTCAACCTTATTTTAGCTTGGCACAGAAATTAATTCACAAAGAAAATCTTAAATCTTTGCAGTATGAAGTCAATCTTTTTATAGTTTAACCTCACCACCAGTTTCTCTTTTCATCACAAATAGTCATGTTTATAGTCTGCACTTTCCTTTTCCTCGAACAAAAATAGCCAATTTTTTTTTTAGTAAAAACTGAAAATTGACTCAAATTTTGTCTGTTGGCTCCAAAATTAGGATTCATTTCTAGAAATATTGATGAATATAAAAAAAAAGGTGCAGAAAAATTTGGGAAGGTAGAATGATATTCACTGGGAAGGTGTACTATAATGCTGTTACCTTTTTTTCTGATTTCCATGGGAGATAATTGTTTGAAGTCTTCTTTTTTCTCCGACAATGCTTTTAATTCGATTGGAAGACCATGACAATCCCATCCCGGTACATAGTGCACTTTGAATCCTCGTAATAGTTTGTAGCGATTTAATATGTCTTTCAAAATCTGAAAATAATTATCTTATTCACTGATCGCCATTATTACTACAGGTATATAACAACAGTTGATAGTAATTCGTTGAATTAATGATGTAGTGGACTTTTCAGGTGAAATAAACAACATCTTGTTTAAACTGTATTTGTAGCTACACTGTCTGTGTAGTCTTCGTCAAAGAAAAGTTGATTATGACTGTGAATTTTGAATATGATGAATTATCATACATGCATGTGTGATTTCTAGTTACTGAAAGGTTCCAAATGAAAATATACGCGGTCCGATTGACCTCTGTTGCATGTCAGTTAATACTCGCGCTATACTTTCTTTGTGCATACTTTATGGTATCCTCTCATACAAAAATACATCAAGTTAATTGTGTATATTTTAGTACTATTCAAACTTCAGTTATGAGAAATATTGAAAAATGAAATCTACAATTTTCTCTGACAGGTTGAATGATTCATTCCTTTAGAAACAAATACATGTACTTTCAAAAATTAATTGAATATTTTTTTAACACCTCAAACAAATATTTTTGCAACGAAATGAAAAATTTGTGACTTTCAAAAATGTACACCACACAAGAAGCCAGTGAGTCCCCTCAATAAACAAAAGGAGAAATATTATCAAAAAGTTGCCACTGGTGGCAGTATTTCACAAGCACTTTGCAGTGGTTCTCACTTTATTGACAGCATGGCCTATATGAGGATCCCCATTGGCGTAAGGTGGGCCATCATGCAGGCAGAATTCTTTATCCCTTGCTTGTTGCCTTTGCCAGGAATATAACTCGGCAAAACCGCATGTCTGTGAAAAAAAAAAAATATGTGAGTGCCAGAGCTACTGGCAAAGGTTCTTGAGAAACATTGGTCACGCTACACAGCGTTGACAACAGAATAGTGCATTAAATTTCCATGAAGTCATTATGATAAGGTGGTCACACAGCTCTGTAACTTTGTCCCAATATGGGATATGTTAACAGCCCTATATGTCAAAACTTGTACTTGCAAATTGGACATTAACAAAGCCAGGAGAGACAACATTGACATTGACATTTTTTGTTTGATTTTTCTATTCTGTATCCTTACCATACAGCACCCATCGATGATGCAGTTATTGAAGTTAAATTAAATGTCTGGAACTATTGCCTAACACAAAAATATTTAAAAAATAATAATAATACATTGAAATTTAATAAAATATTATCGTAGCTTGTTATTTCAATGGAAAATTCATGAATTTATTAAAAACTCAGTAAATATGATAGAATATAAACACAATGAAATTATATACCAGTGAAAATAAATGCTTTTACAGTAAGTGATCTGACTTATGCTAATTGCTATCAAATTAGATCAACCTGAATAGAACATATGCAAAATATCCATCTGGAATGCATTTAAAATACACAGTTAGTACTTTAACTAGTATGACATAACTAGTTACATGGTTATGTAACACCTAAACATATTGTTAACAAGGCATTCTCTTATAGTAATGCTAAAAGGTCACTGGACAATTGACAGCAATGAGTATCCCAGGTGCGATATTTGCATATCATTCAGCCTACCTAACTCACTGATAAACGGTCACTTCACTGCTAAAGTAAGACATGCCATGGAAAGTCACAAGTTTAGACAGGTAAAACTAATGGAACACTTTTTGTTACTTGGGTTTAGTTTTAAGCTTAATGATCCAAATTTTCTATATAACACAACCCAGAGTCTCTCTAGTTTGAACCTGAAAAGTAAAGAATTTGGAAATCTTACATCTATAATCTCCTGGTTGACCTTGACTGTTCAAAGTTGGGAACTTCCCAAACTTTAATGAGTTGAAGTATGAAATCAGTGATTTAAAACAAAATCTAAATTTTATTTTAATATTTTGTTTACACTGATATGATAATGGCTGTACAGTTGTGTGTGCGATTAATTTTTTCATTTATTTTTCTGTAGAAACTTCATCACATTCATATCAGTCGTCTGCCATTATGAACAATACTACCATTATTTATTTTTCTGTTGGGTTATAACTGATTCCCACTGACCTGACACCTGGAACCATAATTTGAAAATATCACTGTAGATGTGAATGCTTCAACACATGACAACCAGGGTTCCCCCATTTTAACAAGAGTCGAAGATTACCCATTTGAAATCTAGAAGCAGGATTTATTTTTCCACTTTTTATCAGTAGATTTTGTTATGCAACCCCCCCCCCCCGAGTTTCTATTTGCCAATCCCTTAACTGCGTCTGCGACTTTTTGCGACTTTTTTTTTACAATTGTCCGGCTTGTAGCATTCATTCAAATGTGTTGACCTTGCTTACCTTCTGAATGTCTGTCTCTCGCTTTCCAGCACCCCATACCTCGAAAGTAGTTTTAGGCAAGTTTAAAGTGGCGCTGTACTTTTTCTGAGAATAAAACCTAAACACTGACTTATTCGTTCCAATAATGCCTTCAAGGCAATTCTTGCATATATGTAACCTCATTGTTCCCATGGATTAGTAATTACGTAACACAAAACTTGCATAGTGACGGACAAACAAAGATGCGATCTGATCAATGCATGTTTCGTTTAAAACTAAGGGGGCCGCCATTATGACCTCCGTTTCAGGTCACCAAAGCCTTCAATCAGAAGGTATAATCAGTAATTACAGAAACGCGTCAAATAACGTTCGATTTCTAATTTAAAACACTAAATTCTGATGATTTTATAAGAAACTTTACCTAAGTGGCATTTATATTAATGATTGTTTAATTTTTAGTGTAAATGTATCTCCATAAATTAACCTGTCTGGTTGAGGTCACGGTGAGTGTGCGCAGACCGGTAACCGGAAGATAGCGGGAAATTTAGCCAAATTAATGATATCTTGGATTATAATTTAACAATTTGAATCAGGTATTCAATTGTTATCACAATTATCTTTTTTTCGTTCGGCAATTACACAGAGTCCACGAACCGACGAGAATTCCAGTGGAAATATTGCATTCTTTCATTCCATCTTTGTCTTTGTCGTTTGCGGATTGGGGAAAACAGCTGATCACGCAGAAGCGTTGAGTCGTCACATAGATCCCTGCTCGATGTTATCCGCCTACGCTTCGTTCCGAGACTAGTCAAATTCGTACAATTTTTACTCGTTTTGCCGGAGAATTGTTATGTCTAACTTACAGAAATATCGCTTTCAAACAAGTAATGCAAAAGTTATGAAGAAGTCGTCTCCGCTGTCATCAGATCGTTCACGAGACGATGAAAGCACCGTAGAAAAAAAAATGGCATCGACACCGCCGCGGTCGTCTTCAGGTAATGTGCGTTGTTTAATACCGGTATTCACAACACTGATCGGACACTATTATAACTGTCAACATAAGTGTCAAATACGACCCCGTGTATTATTGTTCAGGTAATCCACTGAGGTCAAAGGCGAAGGTTGAATTAATTTCCATGGCAACGTAGTCATCACTTTAATTAATTCGAATGAAAAATTGTCACCGCATCATAAATGGTGACATTAAAAAACGATTATTATTGAAACTTTTTAGTAGTTTACATTTAATTCACATGATACAGTATACCTTCATTTCGAGTTTGTCTTTTAATTCTGGATACTAGTACCCAGAACAAAGATATTAAATGCTGAACGGGGGTTTAAATGGGATTAGCCCTTTACCTCCAAAACGGCCATGTCACTAATTGCATTCCTCCCCATCTTTATGCAAGGAAATACTAGTGCAATAGTATATTGCCATGTACCATACACCCGATTTTGTTCGGGTAAAGCACTCGTATTCATTATCGTATGCCTATGACTGCTATTGTGGGACATTACAGTTAAACTCTGATTTAAAGGTGATATTGTTATGTCGATCCTCACATCGGCAGACTACAATTTTTCCGTGCATCTTAATTCAGAGCACAAATACTGAAGTGTGATTTTCTTGTATGGCATTTCTTATGCCTTAGTCAAGAGTTAATTTAATGTTACAAGTTGCATGTATTGTGTGAACTGCTTTCATCACAAATTTAGGCCAAGAAATAACATTTCTGGTGACTTCCTGGTGAAGCTCAAAATGTCCTGATCTTGTTCAATCATTTCAGACAAAGGGCCTAAGTGTTTTCTGTTACTTTTAATTTACTGTATTACACCAAAGATGTGGCAAATATTGAGAAGATAAGTAAAATCCACTAAATTCAATCTACGTGAACATGTAAAAAAAACAATAAAACTCATTGTTTCCTTGACAAATTTTTGAAATTAAAACACAGTGAATATGTTCAAAACATCAAAATAGTGAAATTAAATGTCAGTGAAATTAAATGGTTTTACAGTAAACCCCTAGTTTTCTAGTAAACTGCATTCTGTCAACTTAAAACTTTAAAATTTTTAATTTATTTTCAGCAACCAATCTCATAAAAAGGAAATAGTGCATACTGTTACAAATAACACACATATTGTTAATATTCAGAGGTGTCAGCTTTATTCAATACTTAACAGAAATGCATGTTTTGTTGTGCTTCTTAGCACAGATCGTGTATTGCGACTTTTTTTTCAAAAAATTGCTTGACCCTTTAATGTGATTTTAATAGGGCAACAGTTCATGATAAACACAACAAAATCACAGCCAAGATCATTTAAACAATTTCATATTCATAAATATCTAATCACATCATGCATTTGTTGGATGAAGGAGTTAGGGTCAAAAGCTGTATTAACTAAATGTGTTATGCAAAACTTTTGCTACCTGATTCATGAATTAATGTCCGTGATCAGTTCATCCTTTTCATGTGTGGAACTGTACCAATATAAAAATGATAAATAATGTTAATGCATTTCATTGTCACAAAGATGTTTTCAATAGAACACAAATTTACAGAATCATTTTTCTCAATGTTCACAGATATACAGGTGATTCCAGAGACTCCATTATCGGAATTACCAGAATCCTCGAGTCCAGTGTTCAAAAAAGCTATCAAAGAATCAGCCAGTGATATTCAGTATATTTCTAGCTCTGAAGACGAAGACAAGCAAAGGCCTGCACCTCAAGTACAATTAAAGCCACTAAAATTGAAGAGAAATCCAAAGTAAGAATCCAATTGCGAGGCTGATCAATGCAGTTCTATTTTTTCTGTTTACATGGTTGTTTGTGCAAGTAATGTTGCAACTGCTGTTTCACTTCAGTCCATTTAAAAAAAAATTAAAAAAAATACAATGTTAATAATAATGCTGTAAAATATTAGTAAAATGAGAATGAAAAGGTGTGGTGATTTTATTTAGTAATACATGGTTTAAAGTGGACACATAGAAGTTTTTGTGTTTCATTACCAAGCCAAATATGAAGTAATATTTACCCTAAATTTGTTTATTTTACACACCACCATAATATTGGACGAAAAAATTCCTCATAATTTGATGAAACCGTATTGATCAACCTTAAATAATAAGTTTTATCATCATGCTGGTACTGGTAAACTAAAACAAATGTGCATGTTCCACTCATTGTCTGCTTTTACTGGATGGCAGCTGTTCAGTATATACCTGGATTAAGCGATATAAAATCATTTGAGCTCTTATAAGCACTATTCTCAACTAAAACCAGTCTCCCGGAGTCCCGAAATTTCTCTGGCACAGCTGATATCACCTATTCACAGTAAGTTATGATCAAAAGTAGGCTTTGTGAGCTTTCGTGATTATCAAAACTTTAAAAAATACCAGTAAAAAAACTAGGATGCTATTGTAATCAGATTGGTTATGATCCATAACTTCATAATGTAAATTCAGGGTTTGAACTTCAGAGGTATCAAAGACAATTTTCTGCACCTCTAATAATTCAGCGCTTCTGTTTGATTTGGCATAACCATGCGACTTTCAAACTTCTGTGGTCAACACGTTTTGCGTTCTTCTATCTGCCATTATGTGTGTTGTGTATTTTCACCAAATAAAATTATATAAATTTGATGTTAAATTGTTCATCTCTATTCAAACTTATGTTGTCTATTTTTCCACATCACTGGAACACATGTGTATGGAATATTGGTTGACCAATATGTTAAACTAAAAAACATACTATTAATGTTAGGAATACAATTCCTACTATTCTTGTTCGACTGCGAATCCGAAATGGGAACTATTTTCTCATATAAACTGTTATTTTAGTGGGGGGGTATATCTTTTTATTCAGCATCCTGTTTTATAACGTGTCAGTTGAGATATGGGACCAAGTCCAGATCATGTCAGTTTATTTATAATAAGATTAACATTACTTACTCAAATATTTCAAAATATTTTAAACAACTACTAACAAGTTGATACCTAATAAAAAATACCCAGTAGAAAGTCAATCAGTTTATTATTATGTTATGCAAATGTATAACTATATTGACCTTTTTCCTGTGATACCATGCGCAAAACGCAGTAAAAACGTTCCAAAGACGAGCACATTTGTATTCAAAGTCAATAGAATCTTGTACAAGTCCAAATGCATATTTTACAAGTACTCTCATGATAACCTTATTGTCATACATCTTTTCCCGTTTATAGTAGAAAAAAAAAAGACGCCTGAAAAGTGTTTAATCTGTGCTATCATTGCGTTTAATGACGTGATTCTGTTTCTGTCTCGCACAACATTATAGATGCATCTAATGTAAACAAAACAAAAACTAAAATGTGATAAGCATTATTTATGTAAATAAGGAAAATCCAAATTTGTTGATATGCATCTCTCATGCTTCTGTACAGATTTTTACAGTTACCTGAAGTAAGTAAAACTGAAAATGACTTGCACCATGATGTGAACACGATTTTATTTTTGTTTGTTTTAGCAATCAGGTGTTTGAGATAATGTCTTCGCATAGTGAAAACGAATCCTCAGAAGAAGATAACTGTGGTAAAGCACATAGCAGACCTTGCAGCTCCACATCGGGCTATTGTTCGAACAACGATGATGATAGGAAAGAAAGATTAAAAAGTTTACAAAACCTGTTTGTCAGTCGAAGTAAAGAAGAGTTAGAAGAGTTTGTGAACTCCACCAATACATTAGATGAAGCTGTAAATGCAGTGTTAAATTCTAAATCATCAAGTAAGAACAACAACTATTATTATTAAAGTTCTATGTATATTTGGAATGAACAATATCAATTTGCGACTTGCTGCAATTCCTTTTGAATCTGCTAATGAAAGTGCCATAATAATAGTTTGATGCTATCATCAAAATTCACATGTCCCAACCATAATTGTTGGGTGGTCAGTAGTTATATGTGCATTTTCTTCTAAATGTACTGCAAAAAAAATTAATGATTATTATTATATTTCAGGAGAAAACTACTGTAAAAGGGTTATTCACTGGGTTTTAATTTTGCTTATTTCGCTGACTGGAAAATGTGCTAAATTAAAACCCAGTGAATATGTAAAATTTAGCATAGAACACATTATCTGAAATGGCAAGCCAGCGAATTTTAAACCCAGTGAAAATTAGTCATTTTACAGTAGTTGTGCTGATGTCTGCACAATAACAGTGCAATGTGCAATACAAGTAATATAGACTGTCCAATTACGTTTATTTAACAGACTGCCTCTGTGTTTCCAACAAAATACAATGGAAGACATGATAGTGTTTATATATATGGCACATAGCGAGTGAGACGTATTCCAGGAACAAGGATGCTCAGTGATAATAACAAAAGATAAGAACAGTGTGAGTGTGTGTTTCTGATCCATGTCACCCATTCTGTTCTTATATTTTGTTACTATGACTGTAGGTCCCTGCTCATGAGTAATTTCCCACTTACTACCTGCCGAAAACAATATACAACGCTATATTGTTGATTGTTGCATGATTACATTTTATATAATGCCACAGCAGAGGGAACACATGGCACCAATTTCTATTATTTTGTTGATTCCATTTCAGAAGGAAGAAAAAAACGGAGCAGGCAAGAATCTGTCGAGCATTCACAAGACACCCAGCGAACATACAGCAATGAGTCGATAATTGCTCCAAAGAAGAGAGCTAGAAAAGAACCACTAGCCCTTGAGGATAGTTTCACAGACTCAGACGCTACGTTGATTGGTTCTCAAAATAAAGATAAACTTATAGAGCAGCTGAAAGATATGTTTCCAAATGAAGGCACGCAGGTCAGTAAAAAAACACTCTATTGGCATTTTTGTTGTAGTCTTTGAATGCCTGAAGTATTACCAAGTAAAATCTGTATTAGAAGCCGCATCCCTAATAGAAGTCGAACCCATTCTTTTTTAACAATTGAGAACCAAAACTTCACCATTTCTCATATGTGTCGATGCTCTAATAGAAGCCACATCCCCTGTATTGTATTGTACCTTTTTAATAGAAGCTGCAGCTTCTAATACAGATTTTACAGTATTATACATTTGTCTCCGTATTTCTGTAAGTTAATGTTGTAGTGCTCTACATCCTACCATAATGCTAATACTAATTCCAAATATGACTATGCAACGTTTTCAAGATAGTGAACATGTTCATAGCAAGAAAGTCGCACTAGTTTTCACTAGCCTGCTCATGCAGTTCTTGGCTTCACACGCACAAAGCAGAATTAGGGAGAGATATAACAATATGATTATTACATGGATACTGCAAAGTATCGGGCACATCAGCCTCTGCTATGTGTCAGTCAATACTCCTTATGTTACTGTATTTATGCATACTTTGTGGTATCCTCATAATAACCTTGTAGTACGTTCTTCAATTGCACATGAATTTTTCTGACTGATGAATTGAATGCAGCTTAAACAACATTAGATGGGGAGCATTCCTCATATAATAGGTTTGTAATGATAGCCCCCCCCCCACTTGTTGTGTTTTCCTACCTGTGCTTTAAGGGTCTTTTCTTCTAAATATATATGACAACTCCTAACATTTTTTGCCACTACATCCAAGAAAACTTTGAACATGGAAATTTCTTACTAGCTAGGTTAGAATTAAAGTAGAATTAAAAACCACAATGCATGATTGATTTTTGTATTGTCAGAAGAAAAAAAAAATCTGTCAGGTGTCGATATACATATTACACAAATTATCTAACTGACTTTATTTAATGACTTATTTTACTACATATGTTAAAGAATTATACAAATTCATTGTGCCTCACTACATAAACTCTTTAAGTAAACAATACTCAGCTTGGCAGTCATCATCCATGATGCATTGTACATCGTGCATTTTTGACGTCGACCTCACCAATATTTAGTTTTTGTTTAAAAGACTTTTATGTATTTGATTGTTTTTTCCCCGTAGGACTTAGAACGCATATTAGAAAACAGTGATTGGTCTGTTGATGCTGCTGCTACAATCGTATTGTCGCTAAAAGATGAGGGTATGTATACGACATTAACAGTATTATGAAGTCACTGCCATCATGTCGAAAAGTATGCACAAAGACTGTACAACGAGAGGATCAGCCGATGCGTAGTGGGAGTCGTTGCAACCATGCACTGCCCGAGTGCATCCTTTGCAATATTGTTGTTGTAACTTAATTGTTATGCATGTTCTTGAACAGCTTTTGTACGATTCACAGAACACAAGTAAAACACTTTTAGCTTTGCTGTCGACTTTGTCGAGCGGAGCCTATCATATGAGTGATTGTCCGCCGGCGTCGTCCGTGTCAATGTTTTACTTTTTTGACTTCTTCGACTTCTTCTTGAAAACTACAAGCCTGAATGCTTCGATACTTGGTGTATATGTACCTTGGGTAGGCCTTTCTTAGATTTGTTCATTTCATGATGATATCTTCAATTGTCTAATGATGATTGATGAATAGTTTTGTCATTGTTGAGAAAAAGTGATATTTTTGACTTCTTATTAAAAACAGCAAGTCCGATTGCTTTGATACTATACATATTGTTCATTTTCTAATGATATCTTCAGTTCTTTAATTGAAATGTGCATTGCTAACAGCGGAGCTATCTCAGCCGACAGGCTGTTTGTTTTAAAGTGTCCCCCATCTTGGAAATGCCACCTAATTCTCATTTCCCTCATATATGGTCAAATGTTTGGCAACTGGTCAGGATTTTGTTCCAATATTTTTAATTTTTTTTTTCTTAGATGATTCAGTAGAAACTAAGCCACAAGAAGAGAAAAAGATTGAAGTGAAAAAAGCAAAAGAAAGAGAAGAATCTCCAAAAAATAATCAGAAAATGTCTAAATCTACAAAAAGCAAAACGGATAAGAAATCAGCAAAGCAAGAAGGTTATCGTAGAATTGTTGTGGTGATTTCAAGTGATGAAGAAAATGAGGAAAATCAGAATGGAAAAGATGAAGATAGCGATAGTGATGCTGATGACAAAAAAAAACAGGGTACTTGTAAGGACACAACAGATGGTGCCCATCATAGCAGCAATATTAACGGTGCAGCTGGCACTGAAAGCGAGGATTCTGAAGATGGTGGAGATGATGAGGAAGAAGGCTATGATAGCGAAGACAGTTACGTTGAAGAAGGTTTCTGTTTAGAAAGTAAAGAAGTAATTGTGACATTTTTCAACGAGTCCACTCTGGAGGAATTACAGATGGTACCTTTTTGTTCCAAGAAAAAAGCTGAAAAGATTATTGAAATGCGTCCATTTGACGGTTGGAATGAGCTGGTAGGTATTCATTATGTTACGCTGAGTGAGGGGAGGGAGGGCTGTTCATTACACAACCTTGAAAGAAACAGTTATTAATATAATTAAGTGTTCTGGCCATGCATTAGTTGTACATTTAGGGGTAAAATTTGTGATCTAAATTCAGTTAGGGATATATTTGTTAGGATAAAAAAAGAAACATCTAGAGTTTTCCCTCAGCCTGTTATTCTTACCTGAAAATAATAGTAAGCCCAGGGCTTTTATCTTTCAAAGACATTTGCAAAGAACTTATTTTGGATATTTATTTGAAAAGTGGTGTAAATTGACTGAACATCAATAAAACATACTAAGAGATGAAATTGAAAACCCATTTTTCAACTCAATCCTTTATAAATTGATTTATAAATTTGTCATACATGTACAAGTAAATAGAAAATACACCAGTTGATTGGCAGGACTAGGTTTATTCAGACACACAAAACACATGGCGGTATGAGAATAATATGCAACAACAAATGGTGGCACTCTCAAACTGTTAGGGACAACGTCAAAAGATTGATGTCAGATAAAAAAACTTTGCTTTCGTTTGGGGGTGGGGGGTTTTGACCTCAAAAAGTTTCCATCCTACAAAAACAATTTTATTTTTTAATGAAGTCAAAAAAATCATGGAGTATTTGTAGTTCGTGTTTTTTCTATCCAATCATAGATAAAAAATAACAGAAAATGAAAAAAACAAACATCCAAGACGAGAAAATGGTTTGGCCCGAGTGAAAATATTTGCGTTAAATGAGGTCAATTTCAGGGCATGAACCTAGAACCAACTGCTATGCCATACAACTGTCCTGATTATTAATTTGTATTTAATGGTGAATGTAGTCTGGCGCCATAATCAATATTTATCAATTAAGTTTCAGTGGGGGTTGGGGATAAAAAACTAAAGCAATTAAGTTTTTTATCCTACATTGAACTTTTGATGTTGTCCCTCATATCATGCAAGATCAACAATACAGCAATAAATGATATACATACTGGCGGTGCAACACTGATATCAGTGTTTCTCAAATTTATTGACAGTGGAGAAACTTTTTTAACCCGCACCAGATTGTTTTTTCCCAGTGTTATCTTTTTACCCCGAAATGCTACAACTATAATTACAATCAAAATGTCATTCATTCAATGATTGACACTACATTATTTGTAATATACAGCCATCTTTTTCCCCCATGTATGAAACACTGCATTGCTAGAGGGCTTATTAGACAGGTGGATAATTTTTGTTACAAAATGCTGATGAGAAACCTTCACAGAGTGAAAGTATGAGAAAAAACCAAAGGGGGAAAAAACAGTACCGGTATATTGTAAAATCATTCCTTCAGCGAAAATAGTATTTTATAGTATACTGTTTACTTGTTTATTTTCATAGTGTCAAAGTATGGAAGAAACCAAAGGTCTGACGATTGATTTAGTATATGACAGTAAGACAATACTGGATGAACGAGAAGTGGTGAAACGACTCATGAACAAGTGCCGAAAAATAGCGACTGGTTTGCAAAAAATTATTGCCAGGAATTCAGATGATGGTAGTGGTCCAGTGGAGCCAGCAGATGACCAGATTGTGGAGCAGCCGAAAATTTTAGATGCAAAGTATGATTTCATTTATACATTCTGCAACAAATGCATAATACAGAAAAATCTGTATCAGAAGCAGCATCCCTAAAAAAAAGTTGCACCCATTCATTCAAAAATTCAAAACCATTTCTAGTGTATGTACATGTAGATGCTCTAATAGAAGCCGCATTCTCACATTCATGTTGCATTGTACCGTTGTAATATAAACCACAACTTCTAATACAGACTTTACGTTACTCATTTAGTTTCAAAATTAGAATTGTGTTCTTGCATTCAAAACTTGTAAATATTGGTGGGTTACCTTGGTCTCCCAATCTCTCTGCTTTGGGAATGTATGTACAGTTCCTGTTTAACTCACTAGATCACAATGTTCATTTTAAGACACCTGCAGATGTCTTATGACAGAATGATGTGGTTTCAACCTGACGTGTGCAATACATGTATGGAAGTTATTTCATGAGGATGCAGTGTATGCTTCTGTCTTATTTTCATAAGTACAATAAGATGCATTGCATTAACTATTGTGTAATATTATTCTGTGACAGTTACTCTTTGAAGCCATATCAGATAGTTGGACTAAATTGGCTGGTTCTCTTGCACAGACAGGAAGTTAACGGTATACTGGCTGACGAAATGGTAAGTTTGTATGATAGATTGTAAAATATTAACTATTTTGAACCTTTGTGTGTTGGGGAAATTGGTGATCTTCTCAAATAGGCCGATCACAGCTAATGGTTGTTGTGTATGAATGTGTGTTAAGGTCACTAGTTCAAATTCAGTCTTTAGGTGTACTAAAAAATGGGTTAACTCCGCGCTTTGAAAGAGTACAGTATGCCACACATGAGGGAAGTCAAAGCAACCAGTTGGCCAAGAACGCTTACTGATGCATGTGACTCGCCAGGGCCTGTTAATGCTGCTGACTAACCAAATTGGGATGCTGAATGAATGATGTACAGTTGTAAACAAGTGTGTTTGAATAGTGGCTGGCTATCAGGCTCTGAGAAGTCGGATGATTTGCGAATAAACGCAGAATCAACCAAGTTACCCAGCTGCGCAGGGCTATATAGCCATTCCTGTGCAAGTATGGATTATGATTGTGTCACACCTAATGCTGATAAAGCATTATTGTCAGTGTATCTAAACCCCAATACTTTCTATATTTGCATACAGGGTCTTGGTAAGACTGTTCAAGCTATAGCATTCCTAGCACACTTGTTTGAAGAAGGTGACAAGGGTCCTTTTCTTATAATTGTACCATCGTCAACCATAGGTAAGTTTAATGTTGGCAATATGAGTTTGATCAATGCCATCATATTCTTGATATATACCAGGAATTAAAAAAAATGTTACACAAAATAAAAAAAAAATCCCAAATCAAGAAATTGTTCTGCTGATAAACACTTAAAAAGTCATTTAAGGAGTTTCAATCTTGTATGGGACTATCATTACTAGATTGTATGAAAAGCCAAACTCTCTGAAAACTATCGGCATGGATCTAGAAGCCGTACCTACACACGAATTGGTGACGTCACAAAATACATAACCTTCAATCGGGGTCGTTTCCTCGGTATATACGAATTGGTATATACAAATTACAATAAAGATACTTAAGACATTACACATAAGGTAAAACAAATCATGTGACAATATAATGATAATAACGGTAATAAATCCTAGCTTAACAGTTGAACAGAACGATCATATAGTCAGTCGGGTGACGCCGAAGGTCACGCACTGTGTTACAAAATGGCCGTGTGGTTGAAACTGGGTCATGGCGTGACGGGTGAGGAAGACATCATTAAATACTCTCAAAATCACAATAAAACGGGGAAGTGGTTGCATA